AATAAAATGTCCTATGACCTGGCCATATTAGAATATACTTTGAAGTCCAGCCATTTAAAAAGGTTTCTGCAATTAAAAGAATTTATTTTCAGTGAAACCCAAAAGCAAAAGTGGAACTAAAGGTACAAGAGGGGGGCCAGAAAACACTAGCCTGTGCCACCTGAGAACTGGGTCCCTCTCACAGGTAGACAAACGCTTGTCATTGCCTAGACTTTACTCTTCCTAGGAGTGCAAAGCCACTAGCTAATGCAGTCCTCCCCACCCCCACTGAGAGAGAGAGAGAGAGAGAGAGAGAGAGAGCTCTCTGTGAGCTGATGCTTACTGTGGGATGCAACGTTTCTAAGCTTCAGGTGTCTATATCTATAGGAACTGCATTAGAGATTCAGAACTGAAGGGAAGTTTTTGATCATTTTACAGATGAGGCAACTAAGGGTCAAAATTGAAATTAATTGCCCCCCAAGACATCCCAGGGCTCTTGCCCCTGGTCCTCTCAGCTCTCAGCCCACAGAAAGTGGGGGCGGGGGGGATGGAAGGGCATACATGAGACCACCATCTGCCTGAGGGAGGCCTCCTCAGGAGACCCACCCCGGCTGTGGACTCCACCACCATTTAGCTCAGAGTTATCCCTCACTTTTTAACTCACAACAGAGGCTCAATATATATTAAATGAAAATATAGCATTTGGTTTATTATCAGGAAACAGAAGACTGATGGAGATATCTTGAACTGTGATGTAAAGAACCATGGGATGCAAAAGAGCAAGTTAGACCCTGAAGCCCAGTGATCAGGAATTTGATTAGGCAAAGAAAAAAAAAAGAATTTGATTTAGATTATGTAGCAGTATGTTATGGTGGAAAGAATAAGACCCCTAAAGTAAGATTTTTTTTTACTCTATTACTTACTAGCTGGGTGACCTTGAGCAAGTTTCTCAATCTCTTTAGATTTATTTCTTTATATATAATGTGTGTGTGGAGAGAGATAATGCCCTCACAAAGTAGGCACTCAAATATCTTCATTTAGTGAAAAGCCTACTTCTTCAGCTGCATCAGCTCCTGGAAATAAGTCTCCTTTACTTTAGAAGTATCAGAATGTCCCAACAGCCTTAGATTATGCAAAGGAGAAACAGCACCACTCAGGCCCTGAAGTTGTGCCCTGGGTTTGAAAATGGTTGGCCTAGTGTTCTTTGACGGGGAGGGGAGGGGTGGGGAGGGGAGAAAAAACTAGAGAAGAGAGAGGAACAGAGCTAGAAAATAAGAAGGAACTCTGGGAGCACATAAGAGGGTCTCAGTGCATGAAAGTTCA